CAAGGAGTTTGCTTGCCCCCCCCAAATAAATAAATAAAATCTTTAAAAAATAATCACACGGGCACTACATTAATGCACATGAGTTGTTTGGAATTTATTGTGCTTGAAGAGTAGTCTTATTTTAGAAGTTTATGTGTACTATGAAGCAATTAATCACACATGAGAAAGACCCAGAAGGGCCTCAGATAAGTCACTAAAATCTTTCCAGGAAATTGAGGTGTTTTGCTCTCCAAATGACTTCCCTTTGTATTCTTGATTATTATACATGACTTCAAATAGGTTTACTTCCCAAGCAGTTACTTAATGAGGAACTAGAGTGGAGCTATCTATAAAGTGTCCTTATCCACATAGCAGGGTTATCAGTGATAGAAGCCATACAGATGATTATACTACATGACATATTCGCAGAAGGAGGGCGCCTGGGTGGCTCAGTTGGTTAAGCAACTGCCTTCGGCTCAGGTCATGATCCTGGAGTCCGAAACGCACCGGTAGGTGCCGAGTAAAAGACTTTGATGGGAATAAAACTAAAGAAATGTCATCACACACATATTTATCTAAAAGTTATAGAAAATTTCTAAACTAGGCTGTAATAAAAAATATTTATTACACACCATTCAAAAGGTGGATGGTCAAATAGAAGATAAAAAGTACAATGTTCTAAAATGTAATAGGGTGTTTCTTCATATATTTCACCGATGTTACTATGTTTCTAGGGACCCTTGAGAGAAATTGTAGTAGCCTAATGGTGAATTTGACTTAAGGTTCTGGAAGTGTAGCCCCGACAGTGGTGGGTTCCCAGTGTCATGCCAGAGCTGTGGCAGACTGAGGATTAGGGAGCCGTGCCTGGTCGGTGGCTGCCAACAAGGCATAGCTGCAGGGAATGTTGTTGGGTGGGGAAGTCTGAGCTTGCTTCTTTATTGGCCAAACCCTCTATGACGTTTCAGGGCAGCCCCGAGTATGTTCTAAGGTAATTGTTTATCTCCCCTATTGAGGACAAGATCAAGATAATAATTATCTTTTTATTCTCAAAGCAATGTCACAAAGTAGACTCGAGATATATTTGTTTGATAAGTAAGTGTAATTTATTCCCATCCAGGTTGATTATCCGTGCTATAATATTCTTACTAAGTACAATAGTGCTATTATTCGTCAGAGTCCCCAAATTTATTTAAATTATTTTTGCCTAGATTTTTTTCAAATCCCACCTGTTTGCCTCTTAAACTTATGGACCACTGTTAATTTGCATAGTTGTTTTCAAATCAGATGCTATGTCCCATATCTTGCGTTTACTCAGTTATTCACTGCTAACGTCTAAATCAGAGAAGTGAAAAGGACAATTGTTCAGTGCTTTTTAACGTCCCTGCCCGAGATCAGTAGGGAAATCCCATTAGCTCCATTCATCACATTTCTCATAAATTTAAAAGGAAAGCAAGTATCCAAAGCCTTATTCTTTAATAGTTCTTATTTGTAAACCCTTGACAGGGCTTTATTCTAAATTGCTTCCAAATTACATGAAGAATACTGAGAAATATGATGGTTAGTGAGTCGTGATAGTTTCAGTTATCAAATAAATAACCAGAAGAGTAAAAAGGGACTTAATCTGAAAGCAAACAGAATGATGGGCTACGGTGAGGCAAAAAGAACAGAGCTGTGGCATTCTTCAACTACCATATGGCTCAATCCTCTTTAAGTGGGCAAGTTGAAGAGTCTTTTATTCGGGGCCCTAAAACTTCTTCAAAAGGAGCAGTATTTAAATATTAGTATTTTCATATAGTACCCCCCCCAAAGGCCCCAAACAAATCAATCCTTTTTTGTAGCCAAAGAGGAGTGTTTAAGAAAATAATGGGTAATCTCCTGGCTAAACAAGAGGGCACAGGGCAACCTGTGGGTGGGAGGTTGGCCGCAGGGGCCTGGTGGCCATTCCCCAGCTTGGGGGACTTCAGCTCTGTCACTTTATGGTTAGAGTGACTTATTAAAGTTGTCATCATTGTTTGAAATTAGGCAAGAGATGTAAAAATAAGGACTTCATTAGGAAAAAATGTACCTGTTAATTTCTAGTACCTCATTTCATCAAAAGGAAACAATAATGTAGTGTTGCCATATAGGATAATTGAGGCAAGTGGGTACAAGAGAACTATCATCTATGGTTCAAATTGTGCTTTTGTGAAACGGGGACCTGTTTCATCACTTTCGAACAGACCCCTGACAATTGCTGTTTTTGTCTATTAAGTCATGGATTTTTACATGAAACTCTGAGAGGCTTTTATTTTGTTTTCTTGAGAAGGTGTGTTTAAAAACTGTAAGCCGAATGAATAGGAGCCTGCTACTTGTCTTCGGCAAGGATGCTTTCAAGAAGGTATTTCAGCATTCTCTGTGGTTTAAAAGACAAAACCAAGTCCTGCCGGCTTTGTGTTGTGCTTCTCCTTCAGACTGCAGTGCCTTCTGTCTGCTTTAGGGTGTGGCATCTGCCATTGGGGAGGAGAAACTGGCATGTGTCGCCTTTTATAGCAGGCTGATTTCATTGTGCTGGGGGCCTCTATTTCAGAGCCTCTTGGTTCCAATCTTGTAGTTGACTTGCTCAAACAAATGGGATTAAAAGAGATTTTGACTTTCTATACCTTTAGTTCCATGATTTTTGTATATGAAAAAATATTTTTAAGAAAAGGGCCAGAGCTGAACTTGGTGACTCATTTTCCCTTTCAGGGTTAGTTGTGAAAATAAGCCACAAGCTATAGCTACACCTGCTTAAATTGACTTTGACATATTTCATCAGTTTGGAAAAATGCTTTCTTATGGTTATATGTACATATTTAGTTTGGGTCTAAATATCTAAAAGCATAAATATGTAATTGATTTTAGAATATATGTGTAAACACACAAAACGGACATATATTTATATTTGCATATGAAAAACTTCAAAAATTCAACTTTTGTGGTGTACTGCGTATAATTAGTATGTATTTGAATGCATAAAGGGAGAAAATCCAGGAGAAAATGTCAAAAAGGCACACTAACAAAGATGTAGTATTCTCTTGGCAAAAACTGATGAATGGTTTGGCATGAATTCATCTTACAGTTCTGTAATTCTCTCTTACACACAATGATACAACCCCTGTTTTCCAGTTGTTTGCATAGAATTGCAATTTGTTGTCTGTACACTCTATAATGACCCTTGGGTGTGCACCTGATTCCCCTCCCCCACCAATTAGTCACCAGTTTTTCCCACCTATCTTTTTCTATTTAGTCATTAACATATTTGCACTTGCTCAAGCAAATAAAAATAATCACTGCAGTGAAAATAAACTCATCTTTATAAAAAAAGCTGAAGAATGAAATGATTTTAGAAAACTAGGTCCCACTAAAATCCTATATATTATTTCAGCTAGTGTGACCTCTTGAAAGTTCCGGTTTCAAATGCTTTCTCTCCATGAAAACGAGTTCCATACTAGTACAAGTGAGGCATTGCTTAGGTTAAGAAAACCTGCTTGAAGATATTCAGGTTACTAGGTGACAAATTAACAATAATAAAAACATTCAAAACACCATGAAGTGACAAAACAGAGTATTTTAAAGAACAAAGTCTGAAACATTTCTGCTCTAAGATCAGATTCGACCAACTTACATGACTATTGGTCTTGTTTATTAAATACGGATTTCTTTTTAGTTTTGTTTCACATTGGTTAGAAACGAACTCATATCAAGAGGGTTAATTGTGCACATTAACCTCTGAAATATGATGAAAGGCGTCGTATAGATTTATGAAGACATGAGATAAACTTCAGCTGTCACTATTATGGCACCACTAGTTACATTTCCATGTGCAAGCTGGAGCATAACACAGCAGTCTACTTATTTGCAGACTTTCCCTTTAGAGAGAGGACAAGAGCATTGTAAGAAAAACGCTCCTTTGGGAATGCTTTTGCGTTTTCATTGATAAGCCTACACGCATATATGAGGTGTCTTAAAAAAAAAGTTATATAAACATCATCTTTGGGGCAGGTGCAGTCAGTCTCAGCACTTATTGAGTACTTGCTGTGTACAGGGCACCGCACTGCCTGAAGGCGGCTAACCTTCCCTTAAACTCTTTCCTAATTTCGCAGTTTGAAGAAGTTGTGGGAATTACGCTGATGGCCCCAAATCAAGGCAGAGAGGCCAACTTTCTGAAAAATTACATAACTCCTGGGAGAGGCAGTGCTTTTGCACAGATTGCCCAAATATTTTCTTTCTCCGTCGGCTCCTCCAAACCTTTGAGGCCAACGGACAACTTTGTTCCCCTGCCCTTCTCCCTCTTTTGTCTGCTCGTCAGACTCGTTTTCCACCTTTGTATCGTTCCTTTTAGACGTGAAAACAAACACGCGAACGGCCGGTTGGCAAGGAGACGAGGCACGAGGGGAAAGTGCGGCCTCGCGTCGCCCCACGCCGCCGCGCTCCGGGCGCCTGCGGAGCCGGCCCGAGCCCCCGGCCCGGGGCCGCCGGGTGCCCGCGAGGCTGCGCCCGGCCGGGCGGGCGGTGGCGGCGGGCGCAGG